AGGGAGAGGGGTGGGGAGGGAGAGGGGAGGGGGAGGGGAGGAAAGGAAACGGGGTGTGTGTTAGGAGAGACTCACGGCCCGGGGTGGTCCGAAACGGCCACCCATCCGTACAGCAGGAGACATGTATAACGGTTTAATAAGGTTGTCTTTAATGATCCTTACACCAGTACGAACGAAAGAGATTTCTTTCGTTCGTACTGGTGTAAGGATAGCTCATCGACATCAGAGCCTCCCATACTTCAGACGAGCTACCTGTTTTGGTTGCGCTGCTTCTGCGGCAAGGGTAGGAAGTCGGAGGCGTCCTGCTGACGCTGTGATGGAACCAGCCTGGTGTAGGCCCAAAGCAATTTGGCCGTAAGCTTTATCATTATAGAAGTAAGGAGGCTTTTATAGTTACGAAATAAAAATGAACTGTAAACCTGGACTTATGGCGGTTTCCTGCATGCATGTAACCTGAAGGCGGACGTCCAGCGGTCGATGTGTTTGCCGGGGGAAGGCCCATGTCGGCGCTTCGATAGCCGTACATCGCGCGACACGCAAGAAGGTACTGATTACCAGTCCAGTAAATATAGATTAAAGCTGACTACCGTTATAGCTAATAAATGAAATTACGGGCAATTCCATCTTGGGGGAGTAACCGGTTCGTTATTAAGGACGGGACACATCAAAAAGCTGAGTCACGCTGCCAAATGTACGTGCATTAGTTGGCACAAAGGCGTACTTTAAACAGCGACGAGAGGAATTATTACTGGTAGGATGTAAAATAAGTCATTTATGCGCTGCTTCACAGAGCTTCATTTCACACATCCAGAAACAATTCTCGTTCGTTACATTCCCCGGCTGATGACTTTAGCACGCCCCTTTCCCTGTGCGTCTTCAACACTCCATCAATTCGAGGAACAGTATTTACGTCTCATCGAAGTATCATATGTAACAGGTGAGCATGTCGGTCCGTTTCGGAGGTTGGGCAACGGATGGCTCGCTCGCGACGCGCGAATCACAAGCACCAATTCAGTACCTGCTTACGAAATCTGTCTTTGAGCCTCCGAATCAATGCGCATCATGCTGAGGATATGCTTACATAGTCAGAAAAGGCTTCTTCACGCCACAAAGTCGAGGAACAGCATTTCCGTCTGTCCCAAATAGCATTTATAAGCGCATCGGCGTCCCCTTTAGTAGGTCCCGGAAACTGCGCTAGGTGGACCTCGCCCGGGCAACGAACAGCTCGCGATTATAACGGCCGCATCATCATAAAGAGCAGGGACCAGCAGCACCAGTGCCTTTATAGCTACTTTGTTTATGCTGCTTTTGGGCTTTCATCCGAATTTCTCGACCGACGAAATTGCGCGATCTAGCCAGAAGCTAAGCAAGTTCGACAACATTGGGGCTCCAACTCCCCACCAGGGAAGATAGCACGCACGCTGGGGCCCGGGGGGGAGTGAGGGCAACATAAGCTCCAATAATGCACTCTGTCCGTAATTGAGCTTAGAAGCAATATTCGCGTCGCTCCGCGTCGCATCTAAAAGCCGCAAACAGAAAGGCGCGCTCCACCGCTAGGGCTCTCTTTCCCCGCCTGTTTAGTTTCCAGCGGTCCCCAGTCGTCACCACCGGCCTACTGTATTTCAACAATTTGGACGTCAGCACTGACTCGGTTGATAACTTGCTTGGATGCGTTCGGCGCATATCGTCGCCCGATCAGACCATATAAAACAAGCATACAAGCTACCGATTCCGTCCACCTCTACAAGCCCTAATGGCTGTCGTACGGTCGTGCATTAACGTACGAATAACCCCCTGCCCAACTGACTTGAGGGCCGGGTCCCAGGCAAGGAAAGGAACGCACATATACGGATGGAGCTGCTAATGTTTCGTCAGCTCCCCGCAGCAGCAGCAGCAGGTGCAGGAGCCCGCAAGAGCCGGCCGCGCTCCAATAGTCGCTGCTGGGCGGATAATGCGGCGCCGAGTGCATCCGGAGCTGCACTCATCCTTGCCCTGATCTTTGTTATGACCTTCAGTGCTGCATTCTCTGCGGAGAGCGACGGGGTGGACGCCTGGGGTAGGTCAACCTGCATGCGCGCACGCGTCCTTGCGACAATACACACATGCAAATGCACACACACAGCACAACGTAGCATCATAATATTACTAATGCAAATGATGCGCCCGGGCATCAGCCGCAGCAAGTAAGTCTGCAAGCTCACTCGCCGTCAAGCAGGGTTCGGTGTATGTTTACATCCCCACATAAATTGCCAGACAGAGGGTGTACGTACCTAGCAAGCGTGCATTGATCCACCCAGTCATGCATGCATATCGTACAACAACAATTTTCATGAGTAGTTGCCTTACCGCTTATAGACGTGAGTCAAGCTTGGGTACCTGCGAGCAGAAGAGTGTGCTTGCTTCCATGGGAGGAGGCGAGCCTGGTTACCGACCGCCAGCCCCCGTGGGCTTGGAACAACCGCTCATCGACACCCTGCTCAGCCGCCGCTGTCGCGCCACCCGAGCGCAAGCTGTGCAGGCCAAACAAGGCCTGTGCTTCACCGTGCGTGATACCCATCACCTTCGCCACGGCCTTAAGAACGTGATACCGCGCCTGCGCATAGCCGATCGCACGCCCCTCCAGGGCCGTGGCCTTACCGGCCCGGGCGGCTTGCCCATTGAAACCCTGAAAGAGCGGCTGGTCAGCCGTGAGGTCCGACAGCTTAAGGTACCTCTCCAAAAGGCCCACTGGGCAGGCCACGCCCTCACCCCGAGCAATGCACACCACATTGCCTTCCCGGAACTGATCATTCTTTCGCTTAGCAATAAAGACAGCGGTGTGCGTAGCGTGGAACTGCACATCTCGCACCAAGAGCCCTGCCACATCATCATACCGGAAGAAGCCCGCGAAACACAAGGCCGTGTACGCGGCCATCATGACACTCCACACTGGGGCACCGGCGAAGGCCAACAGCCGGACGACGGCCACGATCACCTCGAGGGTTAGGGGCTCCTTACGATTCAGCACAGCCGTCCCGAGCAAGTGTTTAGCCGCCGCGCGCACAGCCTTGCAAAAGGGGTGCTTCGTCGGGTTCACCCCCTCGCACGCCAAGTCATGCTGCATGAAAATCGCAGCACTCGCCAGCTTAACGGTCGAGTAACTTGACGCCGTTTTAGCCACCGTCGTTAAGTACATCCCCACCACGACGGGGCTTGCCGGTAGGTAGCAGTAGCCGCCCGCACGGCACCACGACTTAAAACCTTCCCACGGATTCGCATACACCTTCTTCGTGGAGGCCGCCCGCGATGACGCGGCAAACGCTTGACTCTCCGCCAGTAGCCCGCGATGGCTTGGCGCGACCAGCCTCCCCGCTCGCTCCCAGAAGGACGCGGCAAAGGCATCCTCGGTGATGGCGTCGTTAGTTGCCTTCTCCAACTCCTCAATCTGCTCCGGTGGGGCCTCGTCGCGGCGCGCCTCGCGTTCGTCCTCCAGGTTGCGGTTGACCTTCTGAAAGGCATGGTAAATTTGGTTCAGCTCCCGGTTCTCACGCTTGAGCGCCTTGTGCTCCTTGCCCAACTTGTTGACCCAGCTGTCGTTGACGTAGTCCAGGTCCTTAAATGGGCGCTCCATGACGCGACCGGACTTGTCGGAAACGAGAACTTTCATAGCTGGCTGCTCCATGGTCATCTCCAGTTGAGCGATGTTCGCGCAGACGCTCGCCATTTGATTCTTCAAGGAGACGTAGGTATCCCAGGCGTGGCCCATAGCGGTAGAAAACTTCTTCTTGTTTAAGCGAGCCAGAGGGTCAGAGGCCAGCAGGGAGGCGGCCTTCTGGTAGTCGTCGGATTGCTCAATGGCGGTCAACTGGGCGTGCAGGTCTGCGTGCACCTTCTGGAGCTCGACCAATTGGTCACCTACTCTACGCTTAGCTGGCATCATAACTATGCCCGCAAACATTGCCACTAGGGCGACCTCTAAGCCGAGAGGAGGCGAGCCTGGTTACCGAATGCGCTATCTGCCGCGGGGCGGTGTAATGGGCAGACGACGCAGTGGAAACCTGTCAGTACTGACTGTATAAACTCGCGAAATTACTCTTTCCGTCGCGCTCTCCGCGACTTGCCCTTCGTTCTCACCAGTACGGCCCCGCCGTACCACCAACGAACCGCCGAGTACGCTCTCGGCAAACACACAGAAAACCTTGGTTTTCTTTCGTTACTCTCAGAAAACCTTCACACTATTCGTTGTGTATTGGGTCTATCAGCGCCATAACATCTTGCTTGTTCGCACACCTACCTCGCTTACATACATACACACATGCATGTATTCAAATTGTGCTTGCGGGTGCCTGCCGTATGTCTATCTGGTCGTGCGGGTGTACGTATGTATGTATATGTGGCGTGCAGGTCACAACCATAACTGGCATTGATTTGTCGGCGATCGGCCTTGCGGGAGAACAAGCTGGAGTCACGGCTTCTTTTTCCATATCCTACAGCTTCCAAGACGCCGTTGCTACAGCGAGCACGGAGACGACGAGCACACAGGAATATCGATGCCCGTCACGATGGATCCCGCCAGCAACCCCCGGCGCAGCTGCACCTACTTGGTCACCAATATGAGTATGGCCTCGTTGAGTGGCAGACAGAATGCGTGGCTCTCGGTTTGGGCCTATGTCGGCGTTCAACAGAGCCCGGCAAGGTACGTACGTAGCTAGCCTTAGCTAGTAGTAGTACCCAGCAGCAGCAGCAGCAGCAGCAGCAGGGAGCCACACATACTACGTCGGTATGTCTATTATGTATGTATACGTCGGTATGTGTATATGTGTACATGTATGTATTACACATGTATACATATGCAATATATATAATTTATGTTATACCAACAAATATAGTATAATTTGCACGCCTCATCACGCAGGCGCTGGAGGTCCTGGATAGACCAAGACGCGCATTATTACCGTGCCACGTGAGTACATATCTAATATAGGTTAGCATGCTCCTATAGGGTTGCTACCAGATGAGAAGCGGGGGGATAACCCGTCACATAATCCCATCGGCGGCGGCGGATGGATTAGATCGTGGCCGCTCGCCATGTACAGGAAAATGGAGCTCCAGTCCCCCCCAGATCAAGGACAAAGTCCTGATGCCCATCGATGTCTCCTTCAAGACCGGCGTCATGGGCTCTACCAAGGCTGTCCAATACGCGGAGGGAAGCCCTCAATGTCTCGTCCCGCCACCCGCCGAGGAAAGCTGCGCACGGCTTTCCGGACCGTTTATCCTGCTGTGCTGGCCCGCTGGTTTCATTCTCTGGTGGCCAGCTGCTGCGGTCCAAGGGGAGTTAATGATTTGACGGTTCCCCGAATTCGTACAGCGGTTGTGATTATCTTGAATCCCATGGAGGCATGGGGAGATTTATCTGCGGGGCTTGGATGTTTGGACTCATCTTCCTAAGTGGCGAAAAGTGAACACACAAAATGAAAGAAGTATTTTGCCGGTAGTTTCACGCAACAGCTTCATCGAGGCTTTCGCCCTGCTGTTTCGTGGCAACAGCTGCTACCGCAGGCCGGGCCGCATGTTGTCGGAGGTTTGTCGGCGGTCGGTTTGTCGTTGGGGTTTCCACTAGCTGCTGTAGTACATACAGGTCGTTTAGCCGGAGTGTGCAGCATCGGACTGATCGGCCTTCGCGGTCCCTCCCCTAAAAGAGCTTTCCCATATGATCCGGACGTGAGGCTTACGGCCCCGGTGGAGCAGCCCCGGTGGAGCCCCTCTCGCCCCCAACCGCCAACCTAGCATGTTACGAAATGTTGTACCTGTTCGATGTTCCAGTATAGGACCAACATTCATCCACGTGGCTCGCTCTGACGGTGCAAAGCGTTCTTCCTGTGTGCGCATTGCGATGCGGTTCGCACTTTATGTACGTCGTACATTGTACAGCTTTTGGGTAATATATCGTATGAATTGTATCTATGCGCTCGCTCTAAAAAGGCAAACGGTCGCGTCTTGAGATGTGCAAAGTGGTGATAATGTATTTGCAAATACGTTATCGGCACACGAGTTTAAATTCACCTGACGGAGCGTACAGCTAGCGTTAACGTGTTAAACTAGCGCACTGCCAGTTAAAATGACTCGTATGCGCATGAAGGCGGATCAACCACCCTCGCCCAATGAAAATTAGTGTCACAAAGTTCTTGCTTGCGCTCACATACAGTACAAATGCAGCGCCAGGCGTGCGTGTAGCCGGATGCATCGAGTGGGGGGAGGACTGGGGGATACAAGCAGCGGCATATCGCAACCCCAACTACAAAGTGAAATGGGTCAAGGCCAATCAAACCACTGGCAAGGCAACGCTCCGGAGCTGATAACAATCGTCGAGACATCAACACCCCCATCCCTTTTTCGAAACAACTTGCGGGCAGCCCGATATGTCAAAATAAAAACATTTTGTCCAACAACGGCCAAACGAAAATTCCCTTGCCCTCCCCAGATCCAGATCTCGGACGATTCTGGAAGGTGCTGCAACTCGGAACAAGAACCGGAATGCGAATCATGTCGTCTCTCACACACACGACAAGCGGAAGGCCATCTCCCTCACCACAACCGCCTTCAAATCACATCGACGAAGCAGTCTCTACCCTATTGGTACCTGTACGACATTCTTCCTACCTACCGCAGAATTACGGCACCTACTCTCTGAAGTTCAGCAACGCGGGCCAACTAAGGGGGGAAACCCCACACACCTCCTCATCCTCATCCTCATCCGCATCCCAACTAAAATAATAATTCAGAACGTCCCAAACAGGTTGGGCTACCGTACAATATGCAGCCGTACAATTACAGTAAACCGCGACGGAGCCTTCTTTACACGTGCACATACATATGCACATACACATGCACATACACTTACACGGCGTGTGTACTGTCCCTGACGCGCCCTGCACAGCACCACAATCAGTGCCAGCCTGCTGCTCCAGCCGCCCTTCAACGTACAGATCGTACAACCGGTCAAACCAACGTGTGGTGGGGACACAACACACACACACGCACACATCCACACCCTCTGGACCGGTGCCCCCTAGGCAGTCCCCCCCCGTAGTGGGGGCCCCCCGACAGCTAGCGCCCCCGGGGCCCTACTGCCGCCCCCCGAGGGTGACCGCGCCTGCAGTTCCGTTGCCGCTGCTGCCCCCCCCACCGTTCCACTGCGGCAGAGGCCCCCCACTGGCGCCGCCGCTGCCATCGGCCTCCGCCTTAGGGGGTGCTTCCTCCCCCACCGGTTGCTGGTGCTGCTGGTGGTGGTGGTGGTGCTGGTGATGCTGCTGCGGTGTGGGTCCCTGTTTGTGTTTGTGCGGGGCCGCCGCGGGGTTGAAGTGGCTCTTGAGCCCCACCCAGCACTTGTAGTAGTCGCGGTCCACACTCGGGCAGCTGAGTGCGGCCGGGGTGACGCGGGGGATGGCGGACGTCTCGAACATGAACGCCAGGGTCTGCGGGGGAGCGTCCGGCAGCAGCAGGGGGGTGGGGGGAAGGGGGAGGGGAGGAGGAGGGGGTGGGCGTGTGTGTGGGGGGGCCCGGGGGTAGGTGGGAGGGAAAATTACGGAAAACGCACACGCAACCGAGTCCAGGGTGGGGTCGTACGGCAGTGCTGGGGTCAAAAAGATTCCCCCGGTAGTGCCGGTAGTTCCTTTTCCTCCGTCCACATCATTATTACTCATCCTCATCATCACCCCATCATCATGATGCTGCCATACACACGCACACACGCACATGCACACGCACACACGCGGGGACACACACGCACCTCGTGGCCCAGGTGCGCCGGGCCGTCCGCTGAGGCAGTGCACGCCCCGCCCGCCGCCGCCCTCTCGTATGTCGCCGTGTCGGGGCCGTGCGGGGTCATGCACAGGTGCAGGGAGGCGCCGCCCGGCAGGAACCCGCCGTCCTGCTTGGCCTCGTACTGGCCCCGGATGAGGCCCATAAACTGCGTGCGACACGAACACACGTGCATGGACATACACACACACGTACATACACATCCACATACCCGGGGTGGCGGCAAGTGCGGCAGCATGAGGGCCCCCGGCGGCCCTGATGAGAACACAACCAGCAGGTCGCGAAGAGTGAGCGGGGTCGCTGTGCACGGGCCGCGGGGGGTGCGGCGGTCTCGGACCGGTGGGGGTTCGACCTCGGGTTTCACATCTTTTTGAAGGTGGTTTTGAGAAGGTGCGTTGGAGTTGGGAGGTACGACTTGGTACTTGGGAGGTTTGCTTGGGGGTTGGCTGGGTAAGGACGAACCAATGGCGATTGAAGCAGATACGAACGAAGCAGATACCAGAGATAGAGTGCGGATATCGCATCGGGAATATTTGGGGCGGGGCCCTGCAGCTGCACTTCCCAACGCCCGGACTGCCCGGTGAGGCGGCGGAGGCGGCGGAGCCCCGCTCAGCCCCTGGTCTGCCTTTCTACCTGCCTCTTCCTCCCCCCCCACACACACCACCAGGCTATCACTGGGCCCCCGTGGGTGCGCAACGGTCCTTCACCACTTAACGTAACTGAATGGGGACCTAACTACCCAACAACCTAACTACCTGAGCTGTACGGTAATTGCATGACTTTGTGGGAGGGACAGGTGCTTTTCATGCACCACAAATATGTGCCGGTGTGTGTGCGCGTGTGCCGGTGTGTGCAGGATCCATACACGCCGTACGCCGTACGGCAAAAACATTTCCCACCTCACCTCGGAGGCGCAATTTCGGTGATAGTACGGCGGTCGGAAGGTGTGCTCCGCCACCAGCCAGCGGGGGGGGAAGATGACGAAGTCGGCGGTGGGGGGGGCACCTGCTGGCCCAGGGGGGGAAGTGTGTGTGTGTGCGTGGTGGTGTGTGTGGGGGGGAAATTGTGATGGTGCCAGATGGACAGTTAACCCGTTGTGTTCCGCTGTCGGCGGCCTGCAGGTGGCCTGATCAGGCGATTCCGACCCACGTGGGCATCCAGATCCCACAGGACCCAGGCGCATCTCATCTGCCTATCCCCGTTCAGGCGCGTCTGCCTGCCGTACCTGGCGTGTACGACGGTACGGTAAGCACCGTGAAGATGGAGGGATCTGCGGGGGGGTAACCAAGGCACGGGGGGCCCACACGTTCAGCGGAGGTGGTGAGCGGCTGGCGGTGAGTCCACAACAAGCAGCATGACGAGGAGGAGGTGGTTCTAACGCGCCGACAATGCTGCGAGGAAGAGAGAAAAGTAAAAGGCATGACGAGCACCGAAACCAAAACCCCGCCCTCCCTTCCCCCCGGCCCTCTCGCCCCAGGCTCTCAACCCCGCGGCGGCACCTGGGTGGTCAAAGGCGACCGCGTTCATAGGGCAGAACCGGGCCAAGTCGTACTTGTACGGCACCTGGGCAGCAGCCGGCAGAGGGAAAGGGCCACCTCACACCCGGCAGGGAAAGGACCGTCGTCGGCGCCCCCAGAGTCACCCCGACAAACAGCCCCGGGCGCCGATTGGCTGCTTTCGGAGGTGGGGCGGCAGCCGCACAGCACTGAGAGGATCCCTCGCGGCGACTGCGGGGTTGACGGGATCCCCCCCGCCTACCGGGGCGGCCCCCCAGCCGCCCCCCCGCCCCCGTACTCCGTCCCCCCAAATACTCACGTAGTTGCCATGCCATGCGACCACATTGAAGGGCGAAAAGCTCTGAGTCGCAACGAACAACTGTCCCTCCAGCTTCTGCAGTACACTGTACGATACGCCCTCCACATCCTCGTACCAGGCCACCGGGTGCAGGAAGTCGCGCGGGTTGGCCAAACCGTTGGCGCCTGGGCAGTTCGTTTCGGTGCGTTCTTTCCGTTATGTTCGGTTAGTTTGGTTCAGTACCTCAGCTCTGGAGCAAATGGCTGCACAGGAGTCGTCAGATAGCGCCCCCCCCCCCTCGTCACGAGCCCCACCCCAACGCTGCGCCCCCCCCCCCTGCACCCCTGATCCCCCCGGGCCCGCGCTCTGGGACACTCACCAATAGGGCCCAGGTCCGGTAGCGCAAAGTGGCCCTGAAAAGTCTGTGTACGGCGCGGTTACGACATGTACGACAACGGGATGGCACAACACCCATGTCATCATCATCACCATCATCATCATCATTAAGAGCACGTCATCCGGCCATGTTGGTTTCCTCCGCACTACCCCCTGCCCCTGCCCCTCCCCCCGCCCCTGCCCCTGCCCCCAACCGTCGCGGGTTTCATCACCGCCTTCTCCCCTCCCAAAGGCAAAACCCTCCGCGGACCTTCCCACCCCCTGTTGTGCCCTGTTCCTCTCCTTTCATTACTCCGCCACACCTGCCGTACTTCCGTACCTCCAGTACATAACCTCTTGCGGCCCCGTTATGCAGCTCCACAGCGAACCTAACCCCACGTGGCAGTACGGCAATCTCCCCGGGTGCCACATCCAGCAAGCCGAACTCGGTCTTGAGCCGCAAAGCACCTGAAAGCGATATCACATCACATCACATCACCTCACCTCACCGCCCATCACATCACCATGAAGAACAGCAGCGGGCAACAACAGCAACACCGGAGGACATGGCCATGCTCGCGAGAGGTTGCAAGTACCCCTAGGAGTACAGGGAAGGTAAAACCCTCCCCCTCCCCCTGCCCTCCTTACATCGGCCGCAGCAGTCTTTCCTTGGCATCAGCTTCACTCGCTCGTGGTTCGTCTTTCCCCTCCTCCCCCTCCTGCTGCCCCCCGAGCCGCCCCCGGTCCGGTACCCTCACCCTGTTCCGGCACCAGCAGCATGTCCCCATCCGCATTGGTCAGGGAGGAGGTGGTCATGGACTCCGTCGCCACGTACATGTGGATGGCGAACCCCTCCTTGCTGCTGGCCCTGGGGGCCGATGTGTGGGGGGGGTGGGGGGGAGAATGGAAAGAGAGACCAGGGGGGAAAGATCGGATGATGATGATGATGATGATGATGATGATCAAGGTGATGATGATGATGATGATGATGTTCGTAATGATGCACATGGTGACGTTCATGGTAATTCTGGTAATGATCCCCTCCTTCTCTACGCCCCTTCCCTCCTCTCCACAGACACGCCCCCACCTGCCGCTTCCACACAGCGTGAACAGGCCCCTAACCCAGTCCACGGGTTCGGAGGGCACGGGGAAGGGCCGCCAGCGCAGCTGGTTGGGCGTGACGGCGCCGGCCGAGAAGTCCGCGGTGAGGGACTCATTAGGGAAGTTGATGGGGTGGAAGGGCTCGTGTGTGACCGAGGGGCGGATGCGGTAGAGCCAGGAACGCCGGTTGGCCGCCCGCGGGGCGGTGAAGTGGGTGCCACTCAGCTGCTCGGCTGGTGAGGGCAGGGAGGCGTGGGGGGTGTAGGGGAGGCGTGGGGGGTGTAGGGGAATGTATACAAGAATGCGAAGTATCAGCAGCTGCCGTGTCGGTGAAGGTAGATGAAGGGGGGGAGGAGAAGTTAACGGTTGCGGCGGAGGAGGGAAGCAGGGGGTGGCGTCCTGGGGCGGGCATCCACTCCACTCCCCCCTTCACCCCACAACCACCATCCCTGACCTCTCATTAACCATTTTCGGACATCTATTGACGCCCTTGACATAATGCGCACCGTAGAGGCCGTAGGGGCAGGCTTTGGGGTTGTTCTGCCCATGCGGTAGGGCGCCTGGCAAGGCCTCCGAGCAGAGCTCGTTCCCAAAGCCCGGCTGGTACTCCAGCGGCGGACTGGGAGCCGCGTCCATGATGCCGCCGAGTCAGCGCGTTAGCGGGGTCGTGGGGAGTTGCAGGATGACTAGGGCTTTAAGCAGATTGGGCGCGCGCAAAGTAAAGCAAGTATCAAGCGAGCAGTACCTAGGTGTTGTTATGGTGATAAACGTTACTTTAAGTTGAAAGTGACGGGACGTTGGGCAAACTCGAAAGCTTCGAAACGAAACGAAACTACAGCGCTGGAAGGCTCCTCTGCCCGTGCATACAGACAGTTTTAAATAACTTGCGCTTGTATAACCCCTGAATGAGAGGTGCAATCCTCCTATGTGTCCTTGGGGATGCACGTCGTCTCCACGTAGATCTTGCATCAAAGTACGGCGTCTCCAATTTCTTTGTTTACCACCGCTTTCCTCGTTTCCTTGGCCTCTTGGCGAGGAAACGTGGTCCCAATGGGATGAGAATTTGGAAGCTTTTCGAAAGCTTTCCTTGTGCCATTTCCTTTCTAATTATACTTAATGGTGTAGTTGCAGTTAGTTCGTTGGCGTGCTCCTGCCTCGGCCGCTTTTCGTTCCTTAGCTAACTTTGGAAAAGCCATTGTCAGTGTCCCAATGTCGGCACATACAAGACCAGTGGGAGGGAAACTGTATTACCAGTAAGGCCCAACACTTGTGCAGTCGCTTCCTGGCTTTGCTCCAACAAAAAATAGCTCGTAGAGTGAGTTAAAAATATGCTTAAATTATTTCGCAGAAACGAAACCGGTTTGTGCTTCTTTGTGTGTTCCAACAAGTGATGCCTGAGGAATGAGAATGAAAAGCTCACGAGGCGTACCAACCTTATGCTCCCGCTCAGCAGCGCATTTTCCTCGCTGCCCTCTGGTTGCAAGAAGGCGTACCACTGCTTGCCGGGCAAGCTTTGAGTGCGGTATTTCTTTTCTGACAGTTGATGCGGGTTCGCTGGGGAGCCTGTGCGTCGTGATTTCTCTGGTCAGCAGCGCAACTATGATGTACATAAAGCAGCGTCATAGCGAGACTCCAGTCCAGACGAGCAGGGGACGAGGGTATGCGCGACCTCCTGTGGAGGGCCCAACAGCTTGCTCTGCGTGCGGCGGCATCGGCCGCATCGAGTGCCCAACGTGCTCTGGACTTGGCCGGATCAATTTTCCCGGACAGCTGGTGCTGCCAAAGGGCGTAAACCCAGTGCATTGTCTGTCGTGTGAGGGGACCACCAGGGCCCGTTGCTTCAAGTGCCTCGGGACCGGCGAAATCCGGCCACGGATCGGTTTCCGTGTGTAGCTCCCGGGTGTAAGAATGTTTAAACGCTAGGATTGAGCGATGATCCAGAGTTTTCCTCACTGGGCCTGCCCCCGGAGTTGGACACTGCAGCAAGGAGGAGATAGGAGGAGCTGCACAGGGAGGCAGGCAGGCTATGTTTTGGGGGGCATCCGGCCGCGTGAGCCACTACCTGCTGCATGTGTAACGAAGCCCTGAGAGTTTCGCGGCTATTGCCCCGACTATGCCGGTGGCTGTCCGGCCGTACAATGTTTTCCTGCAAGCACTACTTACAGCAGAACCAGACATACCCAGGATCCCATGGCCTGACCTTCTTGCAAACAATACTTCCTAAGGGATTCCGTTCTCCGGCTGGGCCATGAGCATATGATCCCTGCTGGAACCCCCTTATGCGTCTTCATACGCCTCTGCCAACGTTATACCCGCATTTTGAGGGGATCATTTCTGTTCCTATTATTTTGACAGGGATGCAACTTTCGTCACTGGAAATTATAAGCCGCATGGAATGTAAAGCGAGTACAGTACGAGCAATGGACCAGACAACCAAACTGAAACCGTTTCTGTGTAGAAATATCGCATAGTGTCTCGATCACCTGCAACCGAGCGTCTATGCATTTGGAAACCTGATCTCTAGGCACACCTCATTGGCGTTGATGCAACGTCGTCGTTTTCCCCACGCACTTTCTGTTTACAACTCCTGATCTCAAAGGTCTCAGAATACAAGGCTTTTATATTTAGGTAGCCACAGCCGCTTGAAGCTCTGGCGCGCCTGTTATTGATCGGAGCTGCAACAGTGGCCAGCGGGCTCGCACGACCAGATACGTAGCACAGGTGGCTGTTTAATGTATCCTCCACCTTCGTATGGGGCAAGGCCGCCATATCCGGGGGCTCCGCCACCTCCAGGCAAGGGCACGGACACGGCGCTCAGATGTTTCTGTTGAATGACCCTGTCCTACAACTGAGAGCACCGGCCGCAACTCCTCGCAGGCGGCATGCCTCCTGGCCCTGGAATGATGCCGCCTCCACCCCCGGGTGCCGCGGGCTTTCCTCCACCGCCGCTCGGAGGTAATGCGGGCACCGGCGTGGACGCCCGCCCGGACACCCAATAGCACCAGCAACAGCCACCTTGCCAATCGAGAGTCACTAGCGTTATCCAACCTTGCTTTCAATGCAGGTGCACCGCCTGGCATGCCACCTCTGCCCGGCGGGCCACCACCGGGTGCACAGCCGCTGGGCATGCCACCGCCTGGAATGCCATCGGCACCCTTTCCTCGACCCCAGGGCCCGCCAGGTGCCGTGGGTCCTGCAGGTACGTTGCTCCGCTCCGGCTCATTTCTGCAGCAGCTGCAAAGCTTGCATCCAATTGCACATGCACGCAAACGAACTGCTGCAACTGCCGGAAATATGTTTCATGTCCCGGCAATGCGAGCAGGCAGAACATCCAATAGTAGTCGTTACTTCCTTACACGCTCTCCTATCCACCACCGTTTGCATGTAGGTCCAAGCTCTGTTCCTGGCGGCATGATGCCCCCGCCGCCGGGCCCGCCAGGAGTACCGCAGGGTCCTCAGAGTGCGTCACAGATGCAACCCCATGGGTCCGTAGCCGGGGCCTTTCCGCCTCCACCGGGACCGCCAGGCGGCATGCCGCCGCCGCCGCCGGGTCCTGCCGGGAGGCCAGGCATGCCCCCGCCGCCGCCGCCACCTGGGGTACCTGGCATGCCGGCCCCGGTCCCCGGCATGCCAGGGATGCCGCCTCCGCCCCCACCAGGAATACCCGGTAAGGCACCGCCAGGACCGCCGGGGATGCCCGGCATGCCGCCGCCCCCACCAGGGATGCCAGGAATGCCGCCGCCGCCGCCCGGCGGCTTTCACACAGCCGGAGCACCGCCGCCACTTTCTGGTGGCCCGGGCCGGCACGGTATGCAGCCGCCGCCGATGGGCGGATACGACCCCTACGCAGCGCAGGTGCGTTGCGTCGGGATAGGATTGGGCCTCTGTGCAGGGGTTGCGAGGTGGCGGGGGAGGCGGACGCGGAAGACGAGCTTACCAATAGAAGTGCGGAGCAGGTCCCGGGACTTAGTGCCAGTAGCGATATTGGGAGGACCGCATGTCCTGGATGTCGAAATGGCAGAGCCAGGGAAACCGTACTCCTAGTACCCTCTGTGTGTCACGGGGCTCAACGGGAAGTGTGAGGAAGGGCCCCGATAAGGGAGACCACGGAGTACCGTATCGTGTAACACGTTGGAAAGAGCCAGGCGCGCGAGGATTTTGCCATAGTAAGAGCGTGGGCAGCATGCAGTATGATGTGGCATGTGTCGCCTGCACAGTACCGGTTGATTGGCAAGGCACCAGGCATGGCGTCCACTTCCCCGTTCCCACAGCCATCTTAGCGCAGCCGAGTCGTTAGCAGCCCCGTCCCCTCCATCCCCGGTCACTTCACCTCCAGGGGAACCCTCCTGCGTCAAGTGCGTAGGCCCGACTCGCACCGGGACCCATTCCGAGCCCGCCTTTCACTTCAACCCCTTCTCTCTCCCCACCCCGCACACACACACACACACTCTGTCCGTCCTGACCCCCCTTTCCTGGCGCCAACTCACATCCCAACTCGCGATCACCGTCCACCTCGTCCTCCTCCCGCCTGCCCGTGGGTTCCGTGGTGCACGGACTGGTCGCGGCCTCCGCGGGCCTGCGCCTGGAAACCCCGTGCCGCGAACCAGCAGCGACTGGCGGAGCAGTTTGAGTCCCTGACGGTGGGTCCTGCCGGCCCTGGGGCGATGGCGCCGGACGGAGTGGACCCCGGCGCCTTGGCGCGGCCCGTCGGGGAGCAGCTTGCGCGGGCGCTCGCTCCGCAGCCCCCAGCGGACCCTGGCAACTGCAGCCCGGACAACATGCGCATGACCATCAATGCCATACCCGTCAGCACGGCCCTGAAGACCAGGTGGGCGGGTGGGCTTGCGCAGCAGCAGTAGCCAGGTGCCGGGGCGAGGCTGGGAACCGGGTCGGCTGCGCCCAGGAGGGAGGTTGGTAGGAAAAGGGCTGTGGGTGGAGGTTTGTGGACCCGGAAGGCGAGTGGTCCGTGGTGGTTTTGGATTGCAGCAAAGCATGTAGGGCCGGTGGGGGGAGTGCGAGAGTAGCTCTCCCACCTGGACGTCGGGTTCATGAGGTGAAGTGAGTTCAGGTGAGGCGAGGTGAGGGGTTTCATCTGTGATGTGAATGATGGAGCGAAGTGGAGCCGAACCAGGTAGAGGAGCGGTCACCGTGGGGGAGCAGCAGACGCGGAACATAACAAGCAGCTGAGAGCCCCCGGCCCTTCCTTCCCTCAGGATCAGAGGTCGTACATGTCCACGCACTGGCCAAACATATTCACGTCCTCGAGACCGCCTTTTGCCCCGTTTCTCCCATCTGCCGTATCGCCCTGGACGACCCTTGCCCAGCCGACCGCTCTCCCACCCGCCTCGCTCGGGTCCGGACCTCCTTCTTGCCCTACCCCATCCCCACCCGCACCAGTTGACGCCTTTGCGACCCCGTTGCCCTGCCCATTCCTTCAGGATGGCGCTTCCCCTGGGTGTCATTGTGCACCCCATGGCGGATGAGTTTCATGGCCGCACTGTGCCGGTGGTGCAGCTCAGTAGCGCGGGCATCGTGCGATGCCGCCGTTGCCGCACCTACATGAACCCATTCATTCAGTGGACGGATGCAGGACGCAGGTGAGGTTAGATTATAGGGGTGCCGGGCAGGGGGTGACAGGAGAGGGAGCGGAATATAGCCGGGGAGCGGGTTCAGCCGGTCAGGAAGCGTCGCAGTGGGGCTTAGATAACGGGCTGGTTTCGGAGGGAAGGGACGTCCAAAGGGGTTTCAATGCTTGGGATGGAGGGGGCCCTCTGATGAGGCGGATGGGTAGGTAGACGTGGTGGCAGCGGGAAGGGGAGGCGGGAGGTGCTGGTGGCTGGTGGGGGAGTCCCGGTCCGTTAGCCACATGTTGAGACTGCAGACCGGGGTATTGGTGTGTCCGGATTTGGCGCGCACGTTGCGGATGGGAATCGTGGAAGGTTAGGTTGAACGACGGGTCGGGAAGGGCGGTTTCGGTTACCACTTGGTAAGTATGGCAGGGGCCGGGAAGATATGATACCGGCGCGGCACTCCCTTGTAGGTTTGTCTTGCCGGCTACGGATGTCGTTGTTGACGATGAGCTGCCGGGCGCATTATCTCTTGGGTCCATGTGATTCTACGTAGTACGACCTTTCTGATCGCTTGGGAGGGCATGCACATGCGTGCGCGCGTCCCCAAGCTGAAGACGCGCCGTCCCACAGCCCCGCTGCTTGTGATATGGTTGCATGGTTCCTGCCATTGGCGTTTTCGCAACTCCCGGCTTACACCCGCTTCGCGCTCAGGTTCAAGTGCAACGTGTGCAGCATGCTGAACGAGATTCCGGTGGAGTACTTCAGCAGCTTGGACCACAACGGCCGTCGTCGGGACGCGGACGAGCGCCCGGAGCTGTCCCAGGGTACCGTGGAGTACGTAGCGCCGGCGGACTACATGGTGCGGGGTTGCGGCTGGCTGGTGGGGAGGAGGAGGTGACTGGCGGCATGGCCCGTGTGTCTTGAGTTCGTCAGTAGCGCAGCGGCACAGCAACGGGGAAGAAGAGGCCTCGTCTGAAGCTTCGAGGTCTTAGGGAAGAAGTGCAGAGCTAACGCTTAGGAAAGAGTCTGTCAAGGGGACGGGGCGCAGGGAACAGCCGGCTAAGGCACAAAATGGTGGACTGACCGGTCTCCCATTTCTCAATAGCACTGCACCGCACTACACGTGACGTCATTCCGTACATGCCCATTGTCGCACAGGTCCGGGCGCCCATGCCGCCGGTTTATTTCTTCCTCATCGACGTCTCTTACAGCGCCGTGGCTTCGGGCATGGTGGCTACTGTCGCTGCCGCCATCAAGTCTTGCTTGGACTCCCTGCCCGGGGATGAACGCACGCTGGTGGGCTTCCTCACCTTCGACAGGTGCGCGCTCCTAGTGGACCAGCAAAGGCTGCAAAAAGATCATTGCAGTGGTACGGCGACGAATATGGACGCGGTGTTGTGTAACGGGGTATGCAAGGGGGTTATTGGTCGGGGGCTAGGTTTTCGTCACACCTGGCTAGGAGGTAGAGTTGGGACAGATAGCGAGGAATGCGGGGTTGCCCCGGGGGGTTGGATACCTAGGCAGTGTGACGGGCTCTGCGCCTCCCTATCGGCAGATTGCACCACACGATCCGAGCTGAGTGACACTGTCCGCAAGCGCCACCCTTTCCTGAACTCTCGCCCGACCTCTACGTCCGCGCCGCGCCGTGACGTCTCCCGGTCCCGGCCGCCGCTATCCTCGCTCCGCAGCTCGCTCCACTTCTACAACATCAAGGCCAGTCTGAGCCAGCCCCAGATGCTGGTCGTTACGGAGCTGGACGATCCCTTCGTGCCGCTGCCTGACGACCTGCTGGTCAACTTGCGGGAGAGCCGTGCAGTGGTGGACGCGCTGTTGGATGCGCTGCCCAACAACTTCACTGGCACGGCGCAGGTGGAGTGCAGCATGGGGCCCGCACTGCAGGTACGTTTCCCGCCTGGGAAACTGGCGGTAGCTGACTGAACCTCGTTGCATGTGTGTCTTACGTTACGTACTGGGCCGCAGCTCTGGGAAGCTGGTGCGAGCTCACCACTACTTTCTGGGGCGTGTGCGCTCCACTTCTGTGCCACTTTCCCTCCGGCCTTAATGGTCCCCCCCTTGTTTAGCTCTCCCTGCCCGGCTCCGCCCTCACCTCCCTTCCGCTTCCTCTCAGGCTGCCTTCATGGTAACCAGCCACATCGGCGGCAAGCTGCTGCTCTTTCAGTCGTCCGTGCCGTCGCTGGGTGTGGGCAAGGTCAAGAACCGGGATAACCCCAGCGCCTACGGCACGGAACGCGAGCCGGCGTTGCGCAATCCGGACGACCCCTTCTTCAAGCGCTACGCCGCGGAGTGCTCGCGGGTGCAGATCACGGTGGACGTGTTTGTCATGTCCATGCAGTACTGCGACTTGGCCAGCATCGCTGCCATCCCGCGATACACATGTGGAGAGGTAGGGCGCGAGCGTGTGCTGCTGGCAAATGTCTGTTCATGCGGCGTGTGAGAGGTAGCAAGTGGACCAATTGTGAAGAACGTCGCCGCAGCCGACCTTGTCCTCATCCACATCTGCTTTACTTAAAATCCCTCCCTTTGTCGCCATGTGAACATGTGTGTGCAGCTGTACCACTACCCCGGCTTTATGGCGCAGCGTGACGGTACCAAGCTGACCGCTGAGATCTGCCACAACCTGACTCGCCCGACTGCCTGGGAGGCTGTCATGCGCGTGCGCTGCTCCAAGGGGTTGCGGATATCCGCCTTCCACGGCCACTTCTTCAACCGCTCCACCGACCTGCTGGCGCTGCCCACGTGCGATCCAGACAAGGTAGGCAAAGCACCACTAACCTCTCCTCTGAAGCCCTGGAGTAAGCTGTGCACATGCCAAGGCAGCCCCTTGCTTTACTCGTCCTATTCGCCTTGTGGACTTTCTTCAGCCCCGTTCAGGACCGTTCACTGCATTGCTCGCTCAGTGTGCACGTGCCCATGGCCTCCTGGCCCGCTCCGCATGCTGGTGGGCACCCGGTCACTGCAGGCTTTCGCCGTGGAGATCGCGCATGAGGAGGGCGTGGTGCAGCCCGGCATGGCGTATGTCCAATGCGCCCTGCTCTACACGAACTCCAATGGCGAGCGCCGGATCAGGTGCGCCATCTTCGCGCCTCTGCCGTTCTGCCCTTCCTTCCTGGCCCCAGTCCCTACCTCTTCACTGCCCATATCGACATTGCAGCCGCGACGGGGTTGCATTCCATGAGCCGCGGCCATGTGTGTGCAAATAAGGGGCCCCTGGTGGATTGATCGAGTCCCCCGTTTGACACTCGTTGTCCTGCTTAGCCCGGCCTGGCTGTTGCTGCTCTGTCTTGACAGGGTACACACGATGGCAGTGCCTGTGGTTTCGGAGCTGTCCGATCTGTACAACAACACCGACGCGGGTGCCATGTCGTGCATGTTGGCCAAGCTATCAGTGGAGAAGTACCTATCCTCGCGGCTCGATGAGACGCGGCAGTCGCTGCACTTGCGGCTGAGCGGCGCTCTCAAGGAGTTCCGGCTCATGAACGCGAGTGCTGCAATGCGGACGCCCAACAAGTTCATCTTCCCGGAGACCTACAAGTACCTGCCAATCTGGACGCTGGGCCTGATGAAGTGCGCGGCGTTCAGGTGGGCGCGAGTCCGGGGCGGGAGCATAGCCTCTTGCAGAAGAGGAGGTCCGTAGCACTGTGGGCCAAGAACTTGCACAGCAAGGGTTTGTATATCGAGTAGTGGTTTAGGCGCCGCTTCGCATTCGCCCCAGTGGAATACGATTAGAAAGCCCGCGGGACGGCCCAGGGAAAGGCTTCCTAAGGCATAGCCAGCAGCGCCCTAGCCAGGTTGGGCCCATTTGGACTGACGGCCGGCTGCCGCTGCTCCCCACCCGTTCCAACTCAGGGGTGGCGCCAAGGACGTTAACTCGGACGAACGCATTGCCGTGGGCCACTTCCTCATGGCTGGTGGCGTGGACGCCGTCGCGCGGCTGGTGTACCCCGCGGCGTTTGCGCTGCACGATCCTAACGGGCCCTGGGGCATCGAGCAGCCGGACGGCTCCGTGCCCTTGCCGCCCACGGTGCCACTCACCATGGCGGCGCTTGTTGACGGGGGTGCTTACTTGCTGGACACGGGCCGCCTGTTTGTGTTGTGGGTGGGCCGGGCAATCTCGCCGCAGTGGTGCGTTGAGGTGAGCGCGACACGGACGGCACGGCAGCCATAAGCGGCTTCGTGTGCACCTTAACTGCGCGTGCTGCCATACGGTCATATCCTTGCCGGAAATGGGGAAACCGCCTCCCAAAGGGGGAAAACATGGAACACGGGAACAGGGTGGGCGGGGCCGCGTTTGCATGTGAGTGTCTGTTAGCCGTGTCAGCAAGCGAGGCTGTGGTGTCCAGGGCACAGCAGGCATCGGCTTACGGGCTTCTTCGTGCCAATACACGGACATTAATGCAATGCGATGCATGGCTGGCCTCCATCCCCATTTCTATTAAACCCAAGCTGTTGCTTTTGTCTATCCCGCAGGTGTTCGGGACCGATCCCATGTCGCTGCCGCAGGACACGAGTGCCGTGTTGGTGGAGCCGGGGCGCGACGCCCCCATGTCTAGACGCGTGAACGCTGTACTCCGCACGCTGCGCGCCAAGCGGCTACTGCACCAACAGGTCTTCGTGGTGCGCCAAGGTTCAGGGTTGGATGCACACGTGTTGCCGTACTTCGTGGAGGACCGCAGCCCGTCGACGCAGTCATACACCGAGTACATGGTGGCTCTCCACAAGGCTGTCATGGCTAAATAATGACGGCGCAATTTGACGTGCCGGCTGTACAGGGAAAGCACGACGGAAGATGTTCCTAGTTCGTGATGCTGGCGCAGACTGATGCATCCACGTTACAGTTCGTACGTGTAGTAGAGTTTATCAGGTGTGGGATGGGGCGGCAATAGGAGGCGCGGGTTGCGCGAGTAAACGACAATCCTCTTATCAAGGGCGTCCATTAGTGATGTATGCAGGCCGTGTCGCCCTTCATTAGAGGCCTCTGCAGGTTGAGCTCCGCTTGGCAACCTCACGATTGTGGAGGTGATGTGGTGCGTGATTTGCAGGGGACGAAAGACTATCGAACGATTTTTGTGTTTGGACGGGGAGAAAAAGCGGGTTGTGGGGGCTGGTGTGTTTCTACAATGCAACACTATGTAAGAATGTATCTTCAGTCTGTTTTTAACATCGGTGTACGCATACGCGTCCATTCTGTCACCTGGCAAACTGTCGAAGCGTTGCATTTCGAGTTGCATAGAGGCCTATGCTTCGGTTCTCCCCCAGAAATCTTATACTAATCAAGTCGAGGAACGCCTCCTGAGCTGCATCTCTTTCCGCTTTGCACTGTCCGAGGCAGGCCAACTGCGCGTAATCATAATACTTCGATGTTGCTGTTCAAGTTCATTTAATCGGGCATGGAGTTGCGCAATGTGTTTCACAGCTGTGAATGCACGAGTCCGCCGTAATAATTTTCCGCCTTTCCAGCCACGAGTTGAAGTCGCTTAGCAATCAACCGACCGGCCCTTTGCCTTGCCCCCTTGTGTACCTCCGTGCAAACGTGGATCATGATCTGCTCATTTGGACGCAAGGCGCAGTAGTTCCAAATTCGTTACATAGGGTAATATGATCCAAACCTGCGTGTAGGGGGCCAAAGCAAAGAACCGTTAACCTATTAGCTCATAGGGTCATAGGGAAGAGCACCTACACACAGTTCTGCACTAGCATTTGAAGGACGCCGTGACCTTTCCCCCCGTGAGTTACCACCAGCTATGTAACGCCTAGCCCCCCACCACAGCCGCAAAACCCACGATAACTCACGTTTAGCGGAAGCGGCGCAGCGACAGCGAGTTGCGGCGCTTCCAGCTGGCCCTCTTCGAGGGGCGGGTCTTGCTGGCCTTGTGGCCCTTGGCGCGCAGGCCGCGGTAATGCTTGCCGGCAGAGGTCAGGCCGCGCAGCTCGCGGTGCTTGTGCACCGGGTTGCACAACCAGTTGATGCGCGCATCCTGCGGAAATAGCAAATCCAATAAGGGACCAATATAGGACAGGTACCCTTCTGTCCTGGAGCCGTATAGGGCTCTACCCTTTTGAGCTGTATAATGCATATTCGACCTTGATACCCTTGCCTGCAATGTGTTCCCCAGCCCCCTTCGACCAATCACAGCTCCTCCGCAAGGTCCAGCAGCATTAGAATACCACCCCTTCCAGACCCCTCCCCTTCGCTCACGTTGCGAATGGTGGTATGCGCCGGGTCCACGAGGATGACCTCGAAGTACTTGTAGCAGGAGTCCTGTGCCGGGCACCCAAGGGGTTAAGACAAAATGATCCAACTGAATCGTCACCAGTCTGTTCCTACCTGGTTCACCCAGTACGAGTTCAGGACACGCAGGCCGCCGCACTTGCGACCAACACGCTCCTCTGCAACGCTGCGCAGGTTGCGGGCGGCCTTCAGCTGAGTGATACCCTGGTTCACCGGCTTTCCATAGACAATACCCTGCAGTAAGACAAGAAATTTCCGTTTGTCCTGTTCTCTACTGCGCAAAGCCGCCAAAAGAGCTTACATACCTTGTGCACTGGCCGCTTACGGTTACCGCGGCGAACGCGCACGCGGTACACGACGAAGCCCTGCTTAGCCTTGTAGCCCAGGCGGCGGGCCTTATCGGGGCGAGATGGCCTGGTCAGGCGCACGATGCTGGGCAACTGACGGTACTCCCAGCAGCGCACGCGAAGAAGGAAGCGGAGCACATCGCTCTGCTTCTTCCTCCACAGCTCCTCCACGTACTGCGAATTGCAAAGTGACACAACATCTTTGGCGGCGGTATTTCCTTGCAAATGAAAGGCGCAATATTAAGCTCTAGGTTGCTAACCTTGTAGGCGCCCATGATGACTTCCGCTTCGAAAAGGGAAGTGGATGGATGGGAAAGGACCTTTCTGCCAAAACTGGAGCTCCAGGAGGGCCCTCCACAGAGCGTCGAGCCTCTTCGTCCGTTTATGGGTTTAAAAGGTAGGCACAAATTTCTCTGTTAGCAATTTACCTTTACAATGTGAAGGAAGGAGCGTGAACGTACAATTTAATGCGGCAACTGGCAACGGTCACAACGTACTTTGTATTTTGCCACAACACTACTCCAAATCAGCTCCAGATGCTCTCGGCGTGTCATTCACGTCGCTGCATGCGCAGGTGTGAGTGTTCTGGGTCACCCTGTTATGGCATGGCACCATTTATAACCATTTCAGTAATCGGCGCCTGTACCCTGTGGATTCAATAAGACATTTCCTGGATATGCCATCTCTTGTCAACGCCTAACCTAGTCATTCGCAAAGGTAGCCTGATAGGCGGTCAACAACAAGTTCTCCGTGGGTGCCATGTGCTCGTTGGCCGACGCTGGTGAGCGACCCGTATTACCTTGCGTATTACCTTCCTAGGGGTAGAAGTAGCGGGAGGTTGGGGGTTCTCTGGAAGGAGGCTTCTAAGCTCCAGGGACTGTTTCACCACAAGACGCTTCCCAGGATTACGTCCGGACGTGCAGGGGCTGCTGTCTGCTTGCTGCTTCGCTTTTGGGCGCATTAGCGAACCTTTCAGCGCCTCTCACGTCAACCAACGGCCAGGCGACATGTCCCCCAGGTCATAAGAGGTTCATAATGGGCTTACCTTGGTATGCTAACCCTTTCGGGCCATGGACGCTTCAGCCCTTAGGCCGGTCCTTTGCCCATTACAACCTGTCGTCTGACGTGCATGAATCTTTCCAGTACGTGAAACTGCTGACACTCAAATTCGGACTAATCAATACCGGGCCGTCAACCCTTCGGAAAACCTATGCACGCTGTTTCAGCTTGCCGATGGTGTATCGGACGGGGTGGGTGATCCCCTGAATGCTCTTAAAATCCTGCCGAAACCCCGGTTCCTGCCACCCTAATCCATTGAGAATTTCCTGACTTTGGTATCAGATTGAATCAGCGTCCAACAATGAACAAGGCGTCGGATTGCGGGTTAAACTAGTCCATCACCACAACTAAGGGTATTATACTTCCACCTTCCCCTCCCTCCCTTTTACCGAAGAGGACGCATTTACCAACCTTCGTTCTTAAAGGGTCGCGCTTCCTGCAGCAGGAATAATCTAGGGCGCTCGGCAAACCCTCAACCCTCAAAATAAGTAAGCACACGTTTGCAACTTAAAAGTCCTGGATTAGATTCCTCTGGTAATCAGAAGCAGCGTCAACTAGCAGGTCGATGACGGGCCCGGGACCGGAAAGGCCAGGGCTTTTTTCCACTAAAGCCAGCGGCTTGGTTCGGACGCCACCAAGGAGGGTGCTGTGAAGCACTCAGCAAGAAGAGATTTGAGCACAATGGCCAGAGAAAACACGCAACCAGAACCTCGGTTGAGTAACAAGACAGGTATCCGGGGAGCCCTCCTAAAGCCACGATTACCAGCACAACATTTGCTCGAGCAGCTGGATCCTGGGGAACACGCCTCCACAGCCCCACTTGGAACCTCCACAGCCCCGAGTCAGCTAGTCCTAAGGCCCGGGATAAGGAGCTTCATGTGAGGCACACTAAGGGCAGGCCTTGCCACACCGAAAACATCTGGATCCTGCGACATGCAAATCTCCAGACCGTTTGAACTACTTTCAGCACAGATCCAGCCTTAGAAACGCAGGTTGTTGCGCTCTTGGCAGCTTACCTTGCTTTCCATTGATACTTTTATTGAGAATAACTAGACTGCTAGCGTGTAGCCAGCGAAGCTATACGACAGCGGGATATATGTAGGTGCTCTGACCTCCCCTCCACGTCCTTCCACATTGGAGTTCGGCCCAACCACGTGCAACGCATTACAAAACTGTGTGGACGCGTAGGCGGTGGATTTGTTGCCTGAGCAAGGGGAACGAATTGCGCGCTGCTCGAGGCCCTTTACAGCTATACCTCCCTGCCCTAGACGACCCTAGCTCGAACCCTTTCTACCCCGGCTGCACGCCTGTGCACCCCTGGGGCCGCACTGCCAAGGACGGGATTCTATACTGGGCCGGTTCCTGCGACCAGATGTGGTGACTGGCAGACAAGCCGTATGGTGTACTCCGGGCCTGGAGTTTCAGCAGCTCGAGCGGAGGAACCTAGATGCAAGCTCTGTCCTGAGTCATAATTACTATCCGTAGATCGATGTTTATACTGTGTGCACACTGTTCCCTGGCGGCCAAATGCCCTTTACCGGAGCCCAGCAGGGGTGGGTTGGGTGGGTACGTCTGGAGTTTGCATGTCTTGTTTGAGCTGCCATCTTTAACGGGGATATTTTGGTCGTCTGCAGCTGCTTTCGGAGGTGTTACTATGACAGGCACCGGTCACGATCCGTATGAACTACAGATGGACAGGAGGCTATTGGCAAAAATAACAATGGTCCAATGCAGGGGAACTGGTCCGAAGTAGCTTCGCCCTTCCCACTCTAGAGGAAATGGAGGGGAACGGCGGACATGGCCGACTGCTGCCGCTGGGGGATCCCTTAAAAAACGTTCAGTGTGGAAGCTCGATTCTGCAGCTGCTGGCAGGCAAGGGTCCCGATGCCGGTAATACGCTGACGGGCCAACTGAGCGACAATGCTGAGCGATAACCAGGGCTGCAATATTCAAGTAGAACATAACACAACAATTTCAGCAGCCCACCCTACTGCCAGAGAGCCTGTGCCGTGTTTCTGCCTAGACACGGTCGTCGCCAGCTCACAAATGTACTGGTTAGGTGATACCACGTCATTACCATCATGCACTCAGTCATTTGTATATGGACAAAACGTCCAAGTCAGGAGCTCCAACCGCCCGACTATACCTAGGCCGGAGTCAAAAAGCGCACTGCATCCTCCGTCCATACATATAGTCCTGCGGTCATAGAAAACTGTACACGTTCAATCCCGCATCCCGGGGTTAGACAACCCCAAAATGTCTCTTGAACTTCTTGTTGATAAAAAATAGCCAAACAGGAGCGGAGCCCAGTGCAGCCCTGAATGTCGCCGCACTGCTTAACCGCGCTGGGCTGGACGTCTCTCACTCGCACTACTACCCACATTGGCACGCGTCTTACAGCCGCAAACACTAGGCATGCAGCAGCCAATGTTTACTTCTCCCCCGCAAGCCACTTGGACGCCTCGATGCCATAGTAAGTCAGGATGAGATCTGCGCCGGCGCGGCGGAAGCTCGTCATAGCCTCCAGCACCGCATCCTTCTCGTTCAGCCAACCTCGCTCCGCCGCAGCCTGCATCATTAATATAAATCGCGCCACATGATCAGGAAATGCAACGCATGGACGCAGGTAATTGGCAAGAGTGTGAATACCATCCCCTACGACAGCAGTTCAGGACATCCCTCTTCGGGACACCTCCACTCTTCTTACGTAACTCGCTTTCTCTGCGGCTTTGTCGCCTGCACTTTGCCGTTACTGCCCAATAGCTTCGACGTCCACTTCACCCGCACTACGCAATTCCCTGCAGCGGCCATGTCAAACCTCCCGTAGCACCCGCAAAAGCACGGGCGGCAATAGCGATACCCAGTGCCATACCTTGAGCATGGCGTACTCTCCCGATACGTGGTAGACGGCCACCGGCAGCGGGCTCGTCTCCCTGAGCAACCGGACAACGTCCAGATATGGCATGCCGGGCTTCACCATCATAATGTCCGCCCCCTCGGCCTCATCGGCCTTGGCCTCCCGAATAGCTTCCCGATAGTTCGCCGGGTCCATCTGGTACGTCTTCTTGTTAGGCGGGATGCGCCTGCAAGGGTGAGGAGCCGGTGTGAGAATTCGATTGGAAAACCCATTGGTTGCATGCATCCCTTGCATGCTCGTTGATAGGATGGAGAGATGCGAGGTATCGTTTCAACAGTGATCAAGACAGGGCATAGGCCTCCAGCGCCCATCGCATGGTGCCGCACGCACCTGTGCGCCTGGCCTGGCTTCGGTGCGGACGCCAGGGCATCACGGAAGGGGCCGTAGTAAGCTGACGCGTACTTGGCGGTGTAGCTCATGATGGACACGTTAGTGAAGCCCTCGCGATCCAGCGCACGGCGAATAGCGCCCACGCGGCCGTCCATCATGTCCGAGGGGGAAACAACATCGGCACCGGCCTCCGCCTGGCTGACTGCCTGAGAGGCGAGAGGGAGATGGGATTGGCGTAAGGAGAACGGGGGACGTGGGGATCGATTACAGAAACGCGACGGAAACAGAAGCCACAGCGTTATTCGTTTAATGGCGCGCAGTGAGATTGGCTGGTAGCATACACCTGCCATGCTGTAAGGCTGTGCGGAATCCCGTTGATTCATAAATCGATGAGACTGCTTATCAAGTGGAAGGAGATATTGCATGCCTGCCTGCCTTGCTTAAGGACTGGGGCCTAAATTCATCTGTTGCACGTTGGCGCCGCGCCATCTGCGAAGGATTAGCTTCTGGCTACACACCTGGCGGCACAGGTACTCAATGGTCTCATCGTTCAAGATCACGCCGGCGTCCGACACGATGCCATCATGGCCATCCGAGTTGTACGGGTCCAGGGCCACATCCGTGTAGACCTAAAACGGAGGGGAGGGACGACGAAGAAATAGCACACACGCAAGTCATGGCACCACTAGCGGGGCATGGATCCAGTGGTGCAGGCCCACACAGGAATAAAGGAAACACTTGTGCACGTGCTGTGCTCTACCACCCCACTAGCCTGACTTTGCAAACGCACTGTTAGTCTGCCAGGCTACGTTGATCACTGTAGCCCCAAATTACCATGGTAATGCCACCGGGCTGTCTTGCCCCCTTCCCGAACAAAAACCCCAATCCAGAATACTTCAGGATGGCATATCGTTTTATCCACCAATCCGATCGGGTGTCCGCCGATGCCCCACTAAACCATATGCCCAAATAATCAGCCCTAGTCCGCAAGGGAGGGTCCGAAAGATGCTCAGCTAGCATGCGTGTCGACGCGCACCTCCAAATCAGGGAAAGTGTCCTTCAGAAGGCGGATAGTGCGTTGCGACAGACCGTTGGGGTTGAAGGCCTCCTCGGCGGTTGGTGTCTTCAGATGGTCAGGAGTCTGCGTCAAGGAAAGGTGTTTAGTGAATGCCCGCGTAGGGTCGTACAAAACGTACGGCTGGTTCACGGCTGCAGTGCCAGGTGTAGCTGTAACTATCCTTCCTAATATATTAATACCGCCGTACTTTTACGCAAAGCCCCTCACCAAGGCAAACGCGACATTATGCACCAGCCAGGTTACGTGGTCGTGCGGACGCCCTGCGCACCTTCGGGAAGACCACAACCTGGTTCACGCCGTAGGAGCGCGCCTCGGCAACATAGTCAATAACGTTCTTGCCATAGGCAAGACGGTAGATGCCCGGCATGGACGCAATAGGGATGTTGTTGCTGCCCTCCTCGTGCACAAAAATTGGCAAGATGAAATTGGCAGGAGATACGATGCTCTCGCGAATTGCAGAGCGGAACGTCTCACTCCGACGGTTGCGACGAGGACGCGACGGTAGGTCCTGCACGCAATTAGGAAATGTGAACTTACAAGCTGCGGTGCCCAGATCTTAATACCGATCCCTCTTTACACACCTGTGGAGTAACAATTGGTGTACCCTCTGGGACGCCAACCTGTGAGCGACAAGTCCCGCAACGGGTTCAGCGACTCCCCGAAGCCGATGAACCGATGCACCAATCCTACCCGCGCCTTGCCATTGGTCGAGGCCACCACTGGACGGACTGCCTCCGCAACGTTGCGAACCACCAGAGCACGGCGTTGGCAGCCGATGCAAGGCGCACGGCCCAAGCTGCGAAGCTGCTGGTTCATGTTGGTCGGCGCTGAGCGAAAAGAAATGGTGCTTAGATCTTGGGTCACCAACACTATAAACGTATTTGCACTTGTACGCTTGAGGGGGTTCGAGTGCGTTAGGCACAGCTTCTACAAAAGGAGTACTCTTGATCCGGCATCCGTACGGTACGCAAAACTGTCCTTGATTTTGTTTGGGAACTACACAGAGAGAACTGTTTGTGCCGCCAACTATTCTATCTTTCATTTGTGACTCGCAAATGGGTCAACCAAATTGAGAAGCGTTATACATGCTACTATGCCAAAGTTGTTTTTCATGGCTTGTGGAGTTACCAGATTGACAATGGTTTTAAGATTTACATGTTCAAATCAGGTCATGTTTGCACCGAAGCATGCGAAATCAGTCAAGTGTTACTGGTTGGGGTCATTGCGGTGACAGACCTTTACGAACCGACGCCGCACAGCAAATGTGATTTGATTGGCCAGATTGCCCTCTTACACACCGGCCTGCCCTGGTGCCACCACACCTGCAAACCATTTTACTGCACCACCACCATGTGGCTGATGGGAGAGAGTCATTCCGTACCTGTGGAAGGCCAACCTATTGCACGTACTGCTTTCCCTCACTGCTGTCCGCGGACAACACACAAACGACATAGAAAGCCCTGCGCCTTTCCAACCTGAAGCATCATGCTGGATCCGCACGTACCAGGTCGCATGGCTTTATGGAAACCCCGGCCAACAATGCCGAACCCCAATCATTTGTAAGTATCACGGAGCAGGACGCCGCTTCATCACGCTGATACCTCCTACGGCAGCCATATCCCAGGTGCTGCGCCATCGCAGCCCAGGGAGGTCACTGCTATACACAAACTTCCCTCTTGACCTGTTAAAGTCAACCTCTAACCTAGACTCACTTCGTGCACATGTCCGCTTTCATGCTGGTCTAGGATGCCACAGCAGTGCGGGCGCGCGTACCAACGCATGGGGTAGGGGGACTGACCCACCGCTGTGGCTCTCCATTGCTGGAAACACAGTCAAGCTTCCTTGCCCAAACACCTCCATGCTTCCGTACTCCGAATGGCCACTCCGGTAAAATCCGAGTTTGTCACGGTGCATGGCAATGACCCACCCAGTTCAGGCTCCCGATGCCGGGAAACAAATGAAAAAATCCCGGGACCCCGCGGATTCCGCGCCCCGGCGAATTCACTTACTGCGATATGCCTCAGCCGCTGCCAGTTCATTGCCAAGAAATCACCTCAGCTAAGCATGCTACCCATCATGCATTTTCACCACCGGGCGCAAACCCACGTCCCCGCTACCTACTGCCCTCACTAGGTTCCGGAGAGCACGGTCCTGCCCCTGATGAGCTTTTCAGCTGCTATGACCTGCCGTTCATAGATCATCGCACCTGGAAGCGTAATATCTGCGCCTGTCCTAACTTTCGCCTCATGCGCTTCTCACAGTGTGCATCCATCCTGTACTCTTCTCTTGCCTATGCATTAATCCACCTGCAACATAAGCTTAACTCCTAACTCCCTCTTCAAGATGCATTAAAGAGCAAGACCGCATCACATTCAATCTACTTTCGCATGCCCCGATCCTGCACCTAGCCCCGAAAGAGTTGACAGTAGAGTGGTCGCGAGCCCCGGCCCAGATCCCCCTGCGGTGCCCGGCGCCACACCCGGTGCTGGCCCGCTCAACCGCCGCGGCACCGCACCCACAAGGGCCAGGGGTGATACGGGCCCCCGCGAGCCGCCGTGCGCTGCCGTGTTCACCGCAGCCGTCAGCTCCACAGAGGGCAGCTGGTAGCTGTTCCCCGAGCTGCCTTGGCCTGGCCCATACGGAGCAGGGGCCGCAGCAGGGGCCGCAGCCAAGGCTGGTGAAAGCGGCTGCTGAGGCGTCCCCGCCGTCAGCCCCGGGTGCGAAGGTACCGTCAGGCTCAGCGTAGAGGGCCCAGTCGGTGCTGTTGGGTGCGGGAGCGGGGCACTGGCGACAGGGCCCCATCCCAGCCCCGTTCCCGTCGCCGGCGTTCCCATCGGATGTCCAGTGACGGTGCCCGCCGCCGCACGTGATGCTGGCGCCGGCCTGGCGCCATATGCCTTGACGCCAAACTTGCGGTTGTAATACCGGCTGTGGTAGTGCGCCAACACTTTAATGCAGTAGCCAAACAGAAGTTTCACACCGCAAAGGATGCCGTACAATGCGGCAACGATGAACAGCCGCGGCCACATCTGTGCGCGTGTCTCCACGCGTAGCCAGAAGAGCGTCACCGCGATGCGCATCGCCAGCGCGGCGGGCGCCAGGTGGTGGAAGTTGAGCAGCCGCGGCGCGGAGTGGCTCTGTGCCGCCAGCGCCTTGGCACACAACTCCTGCAGGACACGTGGAAACAGTAAGGTCAAGGGACACTGCGCCAGGCAGACCCCTCTTCTGGCCTCTACTCTTAAATACAATCCCAGCCGGAAGAGCCGCAATACCGCCACGCCGCCGGAAGTCCTCACAGGGCTACAGCGTGGCGCAGCCGCAGTCGTATTGATAAGGCTCTGCTGCACTTCGGGTACCCTCGCCCTGTTCTCCCCCTCCTCGCACATACCTGGTGGAACTCGCGGTACAGCCCGGGCCGCACTTCATTGAACTTGCCCAGCACGGCGTGCTTGATGATGTCAATGACCACCTCCGCGGCCACCATCAGCACGCACACGCGCAAGTAGTCGTGCGGTGGCAACCAGGAGCCGGCGCTGTCCATCTCCTCCACCACCACGAAGGACAGAACCACAAGCAAGTGAAACCGCTCCACAGCATCCTGGGGATGGAAGCGGGGCAGGGGCGTCTGGGTTTGAACACAGCAAGTTCGAACACGAGTGAGTAGTGAGAGCCAACGGACCAACCCTGCAGTACGATCCTTCCTTCCTGATGTTGTGCAGCCTTTCTCCCGTATACCTGCATCTCCCTGTCCTGCTCACCGCGCATACCAGCGCCCAGATCCGGGTACTGTCCCACTTCTTAAAAACCGTGCTCTTGATCTCCACGAAGTTATTGGCGATTAGCAGCGCTACCAGACCGTTCCGCGACGAGTTAAGGGCCACAGCCACGATTAAGGCCTGCGTGTCAGGTGGAGTGGCCATGGGGATTGGAAGGGAACACACAGAAAGGGAAAATGACCACATAACAGCGACGAAGGGTGCAGGAGGAATTAGCGGAATATATCACAGCCAAAAGCGCCGAAATAGCGATCTGAGATATCCTTTTGACGCCACATGCGCCCTCCTCGCTCCGGGCCAAGGCTGTCAAAACCTTCAGCTGCTCCCTCCCCCTTCCACTCTACTGTGTGCTGCTGCACGGGCTTCAACGCCATTATTCTGCAGCATTAGTCAACGGCAAGGCACCCAAGAACCTGTGAGAGGCTGTGACCCCAAACGCCCCCGGGGTAAACAAACACGTCGTTTCAGAACGCCAACCCCCGCACCCCGTCGCACCACACCTGGCACATCAGCGTCAGCGCATGCAGGGTCACGATAATGCAAGCCACCAGCGCATCCGACGCCAGCTCCCACAGCCGCTTCTTGCCCGCGAGCCACTGAGTGCACGTGCCGGAGAGCGCCTCCAACACGTCATTGCCGAAATTGGACAGAATCTGCGGGCAGTCGGCCGACGGAAAGGGAATGGATGACGTTTTTGGGGGGGCTGTTTGACCCCGGCGCTGACAGGCTACCCCATGTCAGCTACCATGCGGGAACCCAGCAGCAGCCGGGCGTTGTCTATTGCCGCACGAACACGTCGCTGCGCTGGCTGCCCGCCGTCCGCAGTCAGGCTTCAAGTTAAGACACCAAACTGTGCCAAATTTGGTGGAGTCCACCCCCCTACACTTTACAAGCCTTAACCCATCGCCCCGCCTCTAGAGGGAGCTCGCTAGTAAGGCAGAGCTTCCTGACACCCTCGCCCATCCGTCCCTTTCACAACTACTGCTTCCTGCCCCGGAACATTGCGGTGCTTCAGCAGTCCGCTTCACCGCTTGCCTTGTCCAGCATGTCGAACGCCGTGGACAGCACCGACATCTTCAGAAACTCCGAAGTGATATCCTTGAGCCAGTAGTAGATGGAGCCCGGTCGCACCGCCCGCAGCGCGGCGGTGGCCAGAAACAAGATCGCCAGGCAAACCATGTCATACAACTGGCTGCCACTAAGCCGCGGCGCCGCTGTCCCGCCGCCGCGCGACCGGCCGTCAACGGCAGCTACCGCCGCTGCGGCCGCCGCGGCGACTCCACCGTTGAAACTGGGAGCACCTCGGAAAGACGCCGCGGCGGTGGAGCTCTCCGACACGGATGTGGTTCCGGAGGTCGCGTCAGCGAACGAGATTCTGGGAAGCCGTCTGTCAGGTCCTGGCCCTGGGGTGACATTGTTGTTATCAGCCGCCTCAGCCGCCGCCGCGCCACGCGGGTCCCGCGTCCGGCGGAGTGGAGTCGCCCCAGTCGCTGCTCCGAAGGCGAGTTGTGCCATAGCCAGTGCGCAGCGGAGCGGTAAGAGTGTGAACACGCCCTGCAGGAAAGACAACCCAAGACAAGCAAATATAGCCTGGCAAAGAAAAGTGCGCGCGTTCCATAGAGCGCCAGATCAAAGAGAGCCAGGCAAAAGGTCCGCCTTCCCAGGAGCCTCATTCCCGTCCTGTTCGGGCCGCAGCTCCTAGGAACATCCAGCCCTCCAGGTGCCCATCTCACCAGAAACGAGTCCACCAGAAGCAGCGAACCAAACCAAATCAGCCGCTCCAGCTGGTACGGCACGTACAACAGGAAGTTGTATCTGCGCGCGTGGGGACCGCCGCGTGGCATGAGCAGGTCAGGACCTAAACAGCGACCAGGTAGGTACTCGTTCATTTTCCCCGCTGGAGGATCGACCAGTCGGTCGCACCAGTCCGCCGCGGCAAACACGCACACACACACACACACACACACACACACACACACACACACACACACACACACACACACACACACACACACACACACAGCCGTGCCTGAGGCGTCCACGTCGCTCCACGTTCTCCCGAGCTGTGCAACCGACCCGACCTTCTTCGCAGTCCGTCCCCCGTCCGTCCCCCGGCAGCACTCCTCATGCCGGTCCTCTGTTCCTAGACCGCATGCCCTCCCAAGTCGCTTTCCCAACCAATAGCGGCATGCGCCTGCTCCTGTTCAACCCGCGCTGGCCACATGCCGCTAGCCCTGTTCCCCCCTACACCCACCCGCCCCACACACCCACAAACATGGTTTGCGACCCTTGCCCTATCCCTCTATCTTCGCATCATTCACTTCCTGCCACTACCTCCCTACCATAACCTTCCCCCGCGACCTCCCCCCGTTTGCACTGCACTCAATATTGCACCTGGTCCTCATGGGATTGGGGGCAAACGGTAAAGATTTCAGGCTGGCTTAATGAAGGCACAGCTTCCCATGTCCACTCTCACGGAGCTTTTGCTGAGGCCACGTGAGCGGTCCTGTCCTGTCGTACCCCCCGGTACCCGACCCTACGAACTCACACTCTTTCCCGTTCCGTCTGACCCCACACGACGTCCGCTGTGGGCGTCTTCTCCGCTGGCTGCGCCTCAGCCAACACGTAGGCTGCCAGCGTCTGCAGCGGCTCATCCCCCGAACCCACGCTGTGGCTTATGGCATGGCGGGAGTGGATGTACGGCGGCAGCGGCGTGCTGCCCGTGCTCGCCGTACACAAACCAGCTCCCCCATGCGCGTTTCCGACCTGCGCTCCAACAGAGCCGGGGGTCGCCATGCCGGGGGTTGCACCTGGCATGCATCCGTGGGTAGTGCCGACAGCGGCTGGGGCCATTGCGGTGGCTCCCGGTGAGGGCAAGACGACCGCCGCTAGGGGTAGGGCCACCACCGGCGAGAGCAAGGCTTGCGGCTGCGACGTTGACCATATTTGCATGGCGGCGAGATCTGCGCAATGGGGTCAGCGGAGTCAGGGCAGGAAGGGCTGGTACGGGTAACTGCGAGCAATGTAACGTGGCGTCTGATTTGCGCGTCACGATGATGATAATAATGATGACGATGATAATGATACATGGATGATGACGACAATGATATTTTGCTGCCAAAGGGTAAAAGCGCACAGGGCGCGGTGCAACATCGGCCAGACCGCAGTGCGCACACAGCCCGCCGTCCTGTAGCACGCAGTGCCCACCAGAGGGCCTACCCTACTGCAGGCACAGCCCAAACCCCAGAAAAATAGCCCTGTCTTACATAGCCTGTCCTTGCCAAAGCACAGCAGCTGAACAACTGCAGCTGGACTATCCTAAGATGCGCTGCGGGCTGTTTCCGGCCCCTGCCCTGGTCTAGCCAAGCCCCCGCCATACCGCTTGAAGTTGCGACTGTGGCGGCCCCCGACGGCACGCCACCATCGGAATTGGACACCGCCACGTCCGCAGCCTGTGTACTGGAAGCGTTCAGCAAGTACGCTGTGGAAAGGGACTTTGCAAGTCGTGAGGCCTGCGTGTCCTCTGAGCGTCGAGTTACGATGGATGTTGGCAAACGGGCGTGTCCGCTTGCATGGCTGTCAGGGCCAGACGACGTGTCATCCGAAGGGTCCTGCTTTGAGCACGCAGCTAAAGGTGCAGAGGACCGATTGAGGGCGTTCGTCGGTGAAAGTGGTATTTTGGGTGGCAGAGCTGAGCGCATCGGAGGCTGTGCTTCAGGAAGAATGGGTTCAGGCTCCTCGGCATCTGTCTGAGCCTCATGTGAACCCAGCGAGCTGCTCCTTGCATCGTCATCGCCATACTGTTGTTCTTCTTTATCTGCAAACATTTGAATCTAGTCATACATGTGATACATATATCATAGTAAAGCTTGCCATATATTCAAAGCTCTTCTTTGCTAAGAGACCGGTACGGCAGCGCAACGGTGCTAGCTCCAAATGACCCCTTCCGACGGCTTATTATTGAGAAGTAGTGAGCATCTAAGGTAAAATTGTAATTTAATGTTAAGTGCTGCAGAATTGTTGTAACGGCCTAGGGTTGTACTGTGATTCCGTAACGGTGATTAATGTCTTGTGCTAGCACCATAAAGTACCCAAGAATCTGATCAATTCACGGGCTCTGAATTAACAGCATGTATGCGGGATTTCCAACCCCAGCGTAACAATGAACCTGATAATGGACCAACGGAAACAAGAAAAAGCTTTACAGCGGGAAATGCGGGCTTCGCGTTCTCTTTTCAAAACGGCCTTTCCAGATCACAATAATGGCTTGCGGACACATCCACTCATGGACTCGGCGGCGCCAGGACCTTTTTGATGGGTTCGTAAACCACCCAAGACAGAGCCGTGCCTGCAGCAAAGTGAGGGTAGGGGGCATTTGGCATTTGCACGTTCCCTTTCATAAGGAACAAATAATTAAATCCTATGAATGTAACTTCGATGGTGTTGAGTGACCCGTTCAGGTCGGATTGTATGGTTATAACGCTCCGTCGCAAGTTGTCTTAGCCGAATCAGTAACAAAGGACAGGATTTTACCAGGCTAATCAAAACACATTCCCGTACCTGGAGCCAGCTGAAGGATGCGGGCGCCCAACCCAGTTAAGAAGACCTGCAAGAGCGGGCGTGGAAGGGCAGTTAAGGGCATCGTCATGCCAGCGTCCCTTACCAAGCACCAATACCTAACCCCAAAGCATTCCTTCAAAGCCACGTGACTGTATGCCTGGAAAGAGCAACGCCATCGACCCATATCGCGTGAGTTGGGGCGTGGGGCAAGTCCCACGCTTCCATCCCGGAATTAGCGACAAGCTGCCTGCACCCGTTGGCGTATTGCCGTGATCCGCCCGTGCACCGCACCTTAAGACCCTCAGTTCTCCACATTTGGCAGGCCAGAGACCAGGCCGTCGCACGAGCATGCGCCTGACACGCCGACAGCACCTACAGCCGGGGACACGGACGCTGGCGGGCATGGATTTGGGGAGGACATACTGGGCGCGCTCGTGTCCCCGCCCCAGTGAACTCTCGCCCAGCGCAAGCTACGAGGTTAAGTTAATGAAAAGAAAGCCAGGCTCTAACGTGCATGCACCGCCGCGGCAGCGTGTGGCATTAGCACCCTCCCTGCAGGACTCAGGTCCGCCTCAGGGCCCGACAGGCGGAGGAAGGCCAAGCGGTGCTGTCGCGGAAATGCTTGCCTGTTGTCTGAGACGATACCAATGCTACCCCAAAGCAGCTGCATGTTACAACAGCTTCACGTCACGCCCGCCCAGCTACGCGGCCAGAAACACGAGGGCCCCGACGTCTCCTCCTGTCCCACCCTGCAACCTAGGTACGGCTACACCAAACAAGGATGATGCTCCTGGAGAGCAGATGAAGCACACACATATGCAGATGCTCTTAAGCAACGCTGTGCGTATTTGTGCCATTTTGTACCTGTAGACGCGTTTTCACCACATCCGCGGGGTGGGTGAGGATGCCCGCCAGGCTGGCACTGCCTGCGGAGGAAAGCCCCACGGTGCTATAGGTGTGCAAGGTACTCGTCGCTGGGCGAGAGCAATGCAAGCAAGCAGCAGGAAACACCTCCTGGAAATCAAGTTGCGACCAACGGGACCTCTGCATGCGCAACTAGCTCCCAAGCATATATCTTGAGGCAATCCATTGCGTCGTATATCTACGGCAAACTGATCAGACTGGAAAGCCTAGTGAGTTTCTCCGCCGCTTGCATCCCACGTCTCACCAGCGGAGCAGATCCCCAGTACGAAGGGCGACAGCTCCTCGGCCGTCGAGGAGGTGCCGGAGCCGCAGCTGCTGGGGGCAGACTGCATCCCCTCCTCGTCTGCAGCCGCGGCCACGCCGCTACCTCCGCCTGGGGCTGGCGAGCAAGCCGCACTCGCGGCCGCCCGTTTGGAGCCCTCATACGCCGCGATGAAGATGGTGTTCCATGGGAGCCAAACTGCATTAGTGGCCTTGAGGCCGGGGTGGCAGGCAACAGAGGTTAACCCCCGACGGCTGCGCCTTTGCACTTGGGAAAGAGACCAATGTGGATTGCGGGAGCGGCCAGCCATTTCTGTTTACATCTCCTGCTTTATAATATCCCGATTTTAAATCATTAAAACAGAGCCCAAGAAGTGCACGTGGCGCATAATATGGTTGCGGCCAAGTTCGGAGCGCTGCTCTGTTGCGTTTAGAGCGACTACCTGTACGGCAGCAGGCGGCTACCTAGCATACCTGAGCAGGCTGTACCACTAGCTGTGTGACCATCAGCACTCACCCAGTATCCTTTGAGCAACCCGCGAAGGCCATTTTGACGAACCTGTGCGGAGCAGAGCATTTCAAAGGCTGGCGCTCGAAGTTAAAATAATAAGTCTAGCCTCTATCTACTCTTTATCCATCTCACCAGCTCCAGAAGCGCCTGGTAAGGTCCCGAGTAGGAGTACGTTCCCCGCATCAGCGGCGCCACCTGCAAGCGCTCCTTTATAATATCCACCGGTGTGAACACCAGCCCCGCCAGGAGCTGCGCTCCAGCACCCACAGCCATGTCGCCCAGGATACCCCAACTCACTAGAGCAGCGGAATGGCATGAAGGTCGTTTCACGATATTCAAGTCTCAGAAAATTAAACAAGGCATAGTTATTTTAAGCAAAAGTTGCCCAGCTACATTCAGCCGTCTGTTATTCTTAGCTGCCTCAGCCGTGAGATTTCCCTTCCAGGTGCCGAAAGCGAAGGCGGAGAGCAGGTGATGCTATGCCGGGGCAATTTCCAGGGAGCATGGCCGTTCTTAGCTTTACATCTACATCCAGTTTTGGCACGATGGGTGGGCTTAAATATGCTATGAGACGCAGCAGCGCGGACAGTTTGTGGCACGCATCCACGTGGCGCGGACGTAGCACCTTTTTCCATATTACAACGGGACGTCTGTACCTGGCACTATCGCCTTGGCCGCCTCGTAGCCGCTGAAGTAGACAAGGTTAGCTGGGACGCTACCCAGCGCCACGGCCCCGAAACCACGGTAAAAGCCCAGCAGGCCCTCCTGCCTGGCAACCTGCACAGAGTTGGAATACAGAATGAAACTTGGGCCGGCTAACCCCCCCACCAGCATGTCCTGCCAAAACAGCACCGAAGGGCGTACGACCAGAAACGGTTCCTGGCGAGCCACTGACCACAGCACCAGTATCGTCGGCGCATCTTGTGGCTTCATCTCAACGATACATTTGCGCACTGACAGGTCGCGCGAGCCAAATCATTCCGATGGCGATTTCCCGAACACATACCCGCACCCGGCAAGTTTTACCCCTCCTAAGCAGTGTACGGGTCAGTTGCTACCTGCACCGCCGCATTCCAGGTTCCGGAATACAATTTCTTTGCATCGCCAATGACCACACCCTGAACTTGCAGCCGCGCCTTTATCGTGTCAGGCGGATCTGCTCGTTATCAAGCACGGAAACTTAGCCAGCTTTGAAAGCACAAAATTCCGCTGGGTAATTGGGCGAACATCAATCCGTTTCTTACAGGTTATCAGCCTAGAGCATACTCCGGCAATTGGGCCAGCTATCGCGCCTCGTATGGCTGAAACAACTCCTTGCGTGCCAGCATTGGACCCAATGTCTGAGCTCGATTTGCTCTGGTCGGCCTCCATAAAGATGCAATTGATGCTAACAATGCGCTGCCGTGTTCGTGGATACAGCGAACGATGGACGCCAGTCAGTTCCGAAACCATCCCGTTAAATGATTGCACCGATATTTACGCATGACCCAAACGCAAATATATTGTAACTGCAAAATTTTCAGCGAGCGGAAGAAGTATGTCATCGTTCCGTCTGAACTTCCCAATTCCGGACCTAAAAGAATGAACCCTGCTTACACCACATGCATCCTCGGTCCCTTCGTAACATCTTTGCAGTCCCCTGTATCAAAACAAAAACATCTGTTGCATACATGGCTACGCAGGTTTTGGGTGTCAAGATGAGCTCATAGCCTAATCAACAAAACCGGCTATCCAGCTTCCACCAACATTTCAATAGACAATCACCAGGACTGAGAAGACCGACCAACCACCGGACATAAGCAACTACAGGGGTGCTGGGCCTATGCAGGCAACTCCGGCGGTGGCGACACCTAGCCACAATGCCTGCACGTAGTGCAATGTGTTAGGTTTTCTCGTTAGTTGTTAAGTCGTTAACTATCGTTAACTATCTCGCTGGCACAATGTTTATGCCCAAGCCTTCTCTCCTGAAATGTCCGCATTGTCAGTCAAAACAATCTCATGATTGCATCGGGCCTTGTTGGGCTCCGGATGCAGTAAGGAGTACGGTCGTACATGTAAGTTTCCGCCCCGTCGCTAGGCAAGACACAATGGTCTGTGGACCTTGGCAATTACCCATGAAATCAATTGTCAACGGAATAAATTGACAAACATCCTGCGTCCTGCGGTATGCAACATGTTCAGGTATAATAACTGCCCTACGCTAGCTCATGCTCAACCAGGAGGTAGGACGTATACACATGCCCTGCAAAGGTGCCTTCGTTCCGCGCAGCTCAGGCCCGTATGCACTTCCAATGAAAGCGACCTACCTCTACAGTCATGCTCAAGTTACCTAAGCACTGCCACGGCCACCTTCACACACCCGTTTCACACGCATCGTTCCACTGCGTCACCCTTTCATTCCCCCAACAACACCGCCGCACATGGATGAAGTTATTCGTGATTATTGGGTTATAACCCTTGCAGCCTCACGCTGCCATGCTCACCACATCCTGCGGCAGAGAGGGTGCAATATCCTTGCCGACCTCCTTTTCCGACAGCTTGTTTCCATGCTTGAGTAGCAGGCCTCCATGTAGTTCGTCCGCCTCCACCACGATCGTGTCGTCCTCCACGAACTCACCACGCACCCGGCTCGATGCGTATGCAGCTGCCCGAGACAGCCGAGGTTTCCCGCATAACGTGATAAGACCACCCGAGAGCCGTGGTAAAATGAGCGAATAGTGAAGCAGCCTGGTCGCATGAAAACAGGGCCGAGGAGATCTACCTGCCGAATGTTACATCCCAAACAGTGGTGAATCTTACCAGAAACATACCGCACTGCTGTAAGTGCACAGCATCCGAGAATGCAATCTTCAATGCGCAATGCCTTGGATGACCTTTTCAACCAACAATCGAACGAACCGGGGGGGGCCATCCTACCGCTTCTTCGTGTATCAGTCGCCCCGTCAAGGTCAATCCCCTCACTTCCGCCTGTGAAACCCAAAACCCCTTTCCGAAATGCAAAGCCCCCGGAAAGGGTTCATAACATTCCCGTCTTCACGCCTTGTTTCCGTACATGTGGGTTTGCAAATGCTTTGCAAGCGATAGACGATATTGTCTGCCGTCACCACCACATATGCCTGGTGCATAAGCAGCACCCACATGAGACAACTTATTAACAGTTTTCTAGCCAGAAAACGAGCCCACGCTGCAGTTCGCTGCCGGTCATCGTGAGTACAACATAGTAGCATGGGCCCCAAACGGCTGCAGGTGCATAGACCGCACCCCACACTTCACGGACCGAAGCTGGACAACACAAAACTCACTACACAGACGAGAGACAAGCACCTCTGAACCTAACTACTCCGCAAAAACCAGGGGAACCGGGGGGAGATGGCACCCGGGGGGTAAAACAATCGGGAACATCTCTTTGCAGCAACAGGAAGAGAAAGAAATCGACATTGATGCCACTGAGGTGACACTCGACCGGGAAAAATGATTGCCCGCAATGCACATTGCCCCTTCAGATGCACGCGCACAACTTACGGTGTCAACTCGCAAAATGTATATTGACACGGAAAAAGGGGAGCAATTATCTCAGCACACAGCAATCGAGTTCGGCATCATAGGCTTTTCCAACGCGCGTGGGTCATGTACCCCATCATCCCAGGTCAGCCAGCACTTGAAACCAAACTATGAGAGGCACTCCCACCAATACTTCCAAACCACCGCGCGACCAGTTTTGCACCTGAGCCTGCCCATGCAGCTTAGTTCTCACATGGCCCCTTCGCACCTTGGCAAGCACTGAAGTCAATACATCTTCGCAGCAAACATATGTTGCCGATCTCATTACTTCGCAATGCTCTCCCTCCAGTTCCCTGCCCTTGCGCCGGTGTTCGCTGCGGTCCCCTCCGACAGCTTGTTTCCATGCTTGAGTAGCAGGCCTCCATGTAGTTCGTCCGCCTCCACCACGATCGTGTCGTCCTCCACGAACTCACCACGCAGAAGGGCCTTGGCGATATTCGTCTCAAGCTCCCGCTGAACGGCTCGCTTGACGGGACGAGCGCCGTACACTGGGTCATACCCGACAGCGGCCAGGTGTCGTACTGCTGACTCGGTCAGCTGCAGTCCAATCTTCTTCTCGGCCAGTCGCTCCGCCACCCGGCGGGCCTGCAGCCGTACAATGGACGCGATCTGCTCCTGGCTGAGCGGGTCGAAGATGATGAACTCGTCGATGCGGTTCACGAACTCGGGCCGGAAGTGGCTGCGGACCTGCCAGTGAACAAACATACATACAGCACGCACCAATGCCCCCGGGAGATCCCGGAATCGAGACCTGTCAAGGTCGAAAATCCTTCCGATGGTGGATCGTAAAGTGCCCCTAGTCGATGGACGGTGGTGACCTGGGATAAAATTGATTTGCGAGCTGACCAGGAATGGAGTAGAGCCGCCGTCGATCCGGCAGATTCCGTTGGATGCCGGTGGTGGGTGCGGAACCTGAGCAATCCACTGAGAAGTTGACTAAGGCGACTAGGTGCGGGTACCCCGAAATACCGGGGAAGGCAGAGGGTCTGCCGGGTAGCGGCCGCAGGGTGAAGATATCACCCCCTGTCCTACACATCATACATATGCGCATGAGACATGGGCGTGGAGACACAGGATGCAAGGAATGCGGCGCTGCGGAGTCAAACTCATGCACCCAAATCAAGGTCCCCATTCTTCTACAGGTTGGAAATGTTCCCGCCCAACATATGTCGCTCATCCTTGCTGCTTTCTGTTCCTTATGCTCTCTTATGGAGCAACGAGACACGCAGTGAACAAACA